ACAGAGTCTCGCTCTGTCTTGCGCAGGCTGGAGTGCAATGGCGCGATCTCAGCTCACTGCAATCTCTGCCACCCGGGTGTAAACGATTCGCCTCAGCTTCCCAAGTGGCTGGGATTACAGGCGTGTGCCACCATGCTCGGCTAACTTTTGTATTTTTAGTAGAGATGGGGTTTCACCATGCTGGCCAGGGTGGTCTTGAGCTCCTCTGACTTTGCCATCCACCCACCTCGGCCTCCCAAAGTGCTGAGATTACAGGCGTGAGCCGCTGTGCCCGGCCTGAAATTCCCAGTCTTATATGCTCCAGTCCTTTGGAATAATGTTTAGAGTCCATACAAGAAGCCATTAAAATGCAAATATGTCATCTGTGACCAGGAACCAAGCTGGCATCTGGCAGACACTGACACATTTATCAGACTGATGTGTGGACAGCTAGGTGCCTCTCAGAGGCCTTAGGTCAGGTGGAGGAAGGGCCGATTCTGAGCTGACAGAGTAGGATCCACCTTGGCCAGCAGCCGGGATTCTGCTGACAACAAGCTCCTCCACAGCAGACCTGGCTGCAGGGACCAGCCAGGACAAAGGCAGTCCAGGGGAAGCCCCGCGGCGCCACGCGATCACGCCCGAGTCTCCTCGTTCCCCTCGGCCCTTCCTAAAACCTGGTGGCTCAGTCCGAACAATCGCAGCTGGACAGATGGTCCACAACGTTGTGAATTTTCATCTTTTTCATCAGTGCCATCCTTCAGTTCCCGGCTATTTGTGGGCTGGGGAGTTGGCCAAATCGAGTAAAAACCGAAAATGTCTTTTTGTTCTTTTCGGTTCCGCCGGTTTAAATTCCAGGCAATCTTTAAGCTAGGAGGCTGATAAGTATTATTCTCTGCTTGCCCTTTTCAAAGGGACTTCAGCTTATAAACTCTGTGTTAGAGGAGCCAGGCCTGTTAGACGCCACCGGTCTACAGGCACACTCAGCAGATCCCGCCTCGGATCTCCCACTGCCAGGCCCCTAGGCAACGCCCGCACGCGCGCCCGGCCCAGGACATCACGTCTCTTGCGTCGAGAGGCGGGGCCGCGGGCTCTGACGTCACGTGGCCGCGCCCCTGCCGCTCAGATATCTCCGGCACCGCCCGCCATTTTGTTTCCAGTGTTTGGATTGCGGCCGGCGGTGCTGAGGGAGCTATCTAGCTTTGTAGGCGGGAGGCTGGTTACAGGATCTATTGTCTGTCTTTAACTCTGTAGTTTGGCCCGAGGCCTTTGCGAGCTATCCCGGAGCAGTTAGCAGAAGCCGCAGCGGCCGCCCCCGCCGGTCTCCGCTGTCCCCCGGCTCAGGAGGGACCGACTCCGCGTCACGCCCCTTAGCGCTTGCGGCTCTCTTCTCTGTCGTTGGGTCCGCATCGTGTTCCCGGAATCAGACGGTGCCCCATAGATGGCCAGCTTTCCCCCGAGGGTCAACGAGAAAGAGATCGGTGAGGATTGGGACTGTGGGTGGGCGCGTGGGGGCCGAGGAGAGACAGGGACTCCCCGGAGGAGGTTTGGGAGGAAACGACTCCGAGTCTGAGGGATTAGCTTGAGTGCGCCAGGGCCAGCCCACGAGCAAGAAGGAGGAAGCCGCCTGGGTGGGAGTTGGCTGAGAGGTAAATGGCACCGACGTGGATGTAGCACCTTCTGTGCTCCCTCGCGGTTGCTGTGTGGCCGGGGCGGGCACGGACCCCAGTTTCTTCATCGGAGGTACGCGCAGGGTTCTTGTCCTGGGAGTCTCTTGGCTCAGGGCCTGACAGTCGAGTGGACAGGGAAGGGCCACTCAGGGACTTTAGGTTTACAATGGGGAAAAGTGAACTTGCGAGTTCTGAGCCGTAATGAAAGGAGAGTGTCCTCGTGTATATTAACCACTCGTAAATGAGAAACGTGACTGCAAGAGGTTCCAACAGCCTGGAAAAAACAATACTGTATTTTTTAAAATGCTGTGGCGTTAAGAAAGGCAGCAGTCGGGGGAGGAGACTTTCAGAATTATCTTTCAAACACTTAGGAGCAGGGTGGTTGGGTGGAGTGACTGAAGGAAAGCTGTTGTGCGGAAGAGCAAACTCTGGAAAGGCTTTTCTGGCTTAGTGTCTAGCCCAGGGCAATCGGTGTTGAAGGTTGTGCGTCCACACCTACTTAGTGGCTCAGTGGAAAGCACCGCATTATTTAAATCCTTTTTTAAAGTAAAATAACTGCAACAACGTTTGAAGGTGTTAGGGAGTTAGCAAACACTGATCTTACTGTGTTAAGTAATAATTAGCTGTGGTCACTGAGCAGAGAGCATTTACATTTTCCTGCTCTTAAAGTGAATGTGTTTCTTTACTAAATATTAAAGAGGAGATATTTCTAGAGAAGGGCAGAGGCTGAGGAAGCCAAAACGTCCACTGTTTTATATGTGGTGAATGTTTATATCTAGAAACAGCTATTTTAGAATTCTGGACCTTTGTTGTCCTAGGGGTCATTGATTAGGAAGGGACTTTAACCCTGGTTTTAATAACCATTTTAAAGATACAAACGCAGGGAAAAAATTGTAGCAGAGTTCACACAGAAAATTTTTTTAAAAAGATGCAAAGAGCACAAAATTTGTGTCCAGTTATTATTTTAACTGTATTTTAAAACTAGAAAGTGTCGCAAAGTGGAACAAAGAACTCAAGTTCTTGTCAGTTCAGTGGGTTTTTCTTTTACTTTACTACACCATAATGCTGTAGATGAGTGATCTGCCTTTGTTTTATCTGTATTTTATTTCATCCTGATAAACCATTTTGAAAACTTTCTGGTCCTGTTTTCTAAAAGATAAGCAGGGTTTCTTAGCATACCTACATAAAGTAGAACCATCCACTAAGTGTCACCCCCACACCCGCCAGCCCCCCCCACTTCTCTTTTCTCTCTCT